GATGAAACCTTCTGGTGTCTGTGGCACCACTTAAGGCCGTCCGGGAGGAACTGGGGTCGCTGGAGAGGGTCCCGAGGGAGCCCGGAGCCACCATGGCAACCCGAAGCAGCTGCGATAAGGCCCCCTGACTTGTACACATATACATATGTGTGTATCTTTACATAAATAAATAAATGTATGTATGGACATGTACATGCAAATACGTATGTACACATGTATACACATGTATGCACATATGTATGGATATACGATCATACATACATACATGCATACAAACAAACATGCATACATATATACATCCATACATCCATACATCTACACAGCCATACATCCATACATATACACATACATACATACATACATACATGCATGCATACATGCATGCATGCATGCATGCATACATACATATTTCCATACATACAATCGTGTGTATGAGCATGGTTGTGTGTGCATGTATACATGCTACGTGCACAACCAATGGGTGCACGCACGTACACACACATACCTATATATGTATGTATATATGCATACGTATATCTATATATATACAGATGCACACATGTATATGTACATGTTGTTTGTATGCGTGTGTGTGAAGGTGGCACGTGCGTGCACCGTTTCATACAACACACAATGCAACATGCGTGTACGTTGTTTCGTGTGACATGTGCGTGCGTGTGTGGTGGATGGACCGTGTGCTGTGTTAGTAGTGACGTAGGTATTTCGTGTATGTGTTGCATGTGCGTTGTAATCCGTGCGTGTATGTCGTGTGTTGTGTGGCGTATGTGTGAAGAGTGCTGCGTGATGTGTGCGCGTTGTGTCTGTAGGTTGCGTGTGTTTGATGTGCGTGCTGTGCGGTTTGTGCTTTGTCAGTTATGGATGCTCGTGTGCGTGGTTTGGGTGGTATGTGTTCTGGGTAAGTCTGTGTACATATGCGTGTGCATGTATACGCATATATGCAGTTGTATGTGTATGTGTATGGGTGAACGTATATCGGCGCATGTATGTACGTATGCAAGTATGTGCGCATGTGCGTACGGTGCTTATAAGTATGCATGCATGCATGCATGCATGCATACGTCAGCACAGGCATGTGTGTATGTATGCATGTATGGATGGATGGATGGATGTAGGCGCAGGCCACAAATTCCCGACGCCAGGCTGCGAGTAGAGGCGGTTGCAGGGAACGAGATTGTTTTGGCTCCCTGCGGGTCCCAAATCGTGCCGAAAGCGGCGCGTTCCCTCGAAACGTCGACCGCAACATCTCAACATCGGTGGCCTCGGCCGGGATTTCGGCCAGGGGGCCGATGGGTCATTCGCCGTCCATGGGCTCGTGGCCGAACTGGTGTTCCGCAGTGCGGATTGGTGTTGCGTTGTTGTTGTTGTTGTTGTTGTTGTTGTTCTTGTTGTTAGTTTGAATAACCACGCCTTGGAAATATTGAGTGTTCAGTCACCCGCCCGGTGCCCATTGTGCGTTTCAATTCACATGCTCCTCCTGGAGCTCGCACCTGTTTTTTTTACTGCGGCTCATGCTGCGTTGTGACGTTGAAGAGGACGATGACGGCGAGGGGGACTGAGCGGAGGAGAAGGAGGCAGCGGAGGAAGATATTAAGGAGGAGGCGAAAGGGAAGGCTACGAGAAGTAGGAAGCACCGCAACTGAGTCGCAGGAGGAACTAACGCCGCCGCGAGGAGCACTTGCCTCGAAGGGCGGCTGCAGCCTACATAGAAACATGTGTGGGGTATCTTGGGACACCTCCACGGCATCCTGAAAAACAAAGTCGAAGCTTCTTCTGGGGCCTGCCGGGGCGCCTCTTGGGGCCTCTGTACGGGTTGTTTGGGGGCCTTTGGGGGCCTCTGGAGGCCCTCTTGGGCCCCGCTGGCGGTATGAGGGGCTCTCTTAGGCAATCGTGAAGCCCTCCTGGGGCCTTCTTGTGGCCGTCTCGGGCGCCTCTTGGGCCGCATTGGATTTGTTCTGGGGCCGTATTGGGACTGCCTTGTGGGCCTCTTGGGCCGTCTTGGTGCGGCTTGAGAGGCCGTTCGGGCCGTCGAGGGCGCTGAGGGAGCTCGAGAGTCGTACAGGCTGAAAACGCATGTTTTCTCCAGATGGGACGCGTCTGGCTTCTTGGGGCCCTCTGGGGGCACCTCAGGGTGCCCTCTTCGGGCGTGGTGGGGGGCTCGTGGCTCCTCTCGAGGCCATCCTGGCGAGTCGTGGAGCACTCACGGGGCGACTGGAGCAGTCTAGAGCCAGTCCTGGTAGCCTCTGGAGCCAGCCGTCCGAGAATCCTCAGGGCCCTGCCCGGGAGCCCTTGGGCCACGGGGCCGTGGTTCTGGGCCCGTCCCAGTTTCTCCGACATCTCTATATATATATATATATGTACATAGATGTGTATATACACATATATAACATACATACACACATATGTGTGTATCTATATACTGCATGGGTGTGTCCATGAGTGCTATGAATGTGCGTATGTGTGAGTGAATGAATGAATGAATGGATGGATGGATGCCTGTATAGGTGTATGTGTAGACATATGCATACATATGTATACACATGTATATATATACACCGCATAGACCACCCTTCGGGTGATAAGGAGGTGAGGGGGGGGAGGGACCAACGTCGCACTCGAGTGATCTCACTATCGAACTCACTACCGATCTCACAATCGATCTCAATCGATAGATCTCACAATCGATCTGACTATCGATCTCACAATCAATCTCGCAATCGATCCCACAATCGATCTCACATTCGGTCTCGCTATTGAGCTCACAATCGATATCACAATCGATCTCGCATTCGATCTGACTATCGATCTCACGATCAAACTCACTATCGATCTCATTATCGATCTCACATTCGGTCTCACTATCGATCTCACTATCGATATCACAATCGATATCACAATCGATCTCGCATTCGGCCTTTCGATCTCACTATCGATCTCACTCTCGATACCACAACCGAACTCACAATCGATCTCACATTCGGTCTCATCATCGATCTCACTATCGAGATCTCACCACTAACTCAATCGGTCGATCTCACAATCAATCTGACTATCGATCTCACAATAGATTCCACAATCGATCTCACATTCGGTCTCACTATCGATCTCACTATCGATATCACAATCGATCTCACAATCGATATCCCATTCGGTCTCACAATCGATCTCACTATCGATCTCATTATCGATCCCACATTCGGTATCACAATCGATCTCACAATCGATCTCACAAGCGATCTGACATTCGATCTCACAATCGATATCACTACCGATCTCACTATCGATCATCAAAACAAAACATCAACATCGTCATCATCATCACCATCACATTCATCAATATCATCACCAAAATCGGGACACCGACAGGGCACCGGCGGGACACCGCGGGGCCCCGGCCGCCCGGAAGGGAGACATTTGGTCCGGCCGCGCCTCAGCCACACGGGACACCAGCGGGACACCGGCGGGACACCGCGGGCCCCCGGCCGCCCGGAAGGGAGACATTTGGTCCGGCCGCGCCTCAGCCACAGGAGACTTTCTCTCGCCCGCCCACGCAGCTTCGCCTCGCCCGCACGCACGGCACGCACGAACACGAAACCGAAATCGATTTCCCGGTAGGGGGGCTCTCCGTTCCACTTCGATCTCACCCCCTCACCTCCGATACACACAGATATATCGGCTCGAACCATCGCGCACTTCGCGCGCGCTCAAGTTCTAGCTAGGTTCGACAGGCTAACGCATGGAATCTCACTTGTTGAAGTGCCTTGTGCATCGAACGACCTTCTTGGAGTCCCCGCGCAAACCTCGGAAGCGTATAGAAGGGGGTAATGCGGAAACCACCAACTCATAAATGTCCTTCAGGTGTTCGATGGTTAGGGCCTTCGAAGGCTTCCTGGGATCTTCCTTCGGTGGTGACGGGGGCCTTAATTATGGTCTGCTGTGTAAAAATAAACAAGGGTAGGTTTGAAAGAAATGGAATTCTTGGCACTCCATGTTTTCAATTTGTCATGCCTGGGTCGTGGGTCAGAAGTTTCCTGGATACAGGCCTTGGACTGTTGGGGCGCCTCTGGGAGCCTTTGGCGGCGTCTTGGGAGCCTTTCGGGGCCTCTTGGGAGCTAATGGTGCCCCCTGGGAGCCTCCCAGGAGTTTTCGAAGGCATCTAGGGGGCGCATCGAGAGCCTTTGCGAGAACCTTGGAACCATCTTGAGGCAAGGCGCTCGAAGGCTTGGGCAGGTCCTCTCTTTTGTCTTTTTCTTGGCGCGCGCGCGCTGACTTGCTAGCCAGGCTGGACAGGTGAACTCATGGGCTCTCGATGTTTACTGTGGTCTCAGGGGCAGCCAGGACACGAAGACGACCCAAGAGAGTGCCACGACAGCGTCATAGAGTTCAACAGCATTTCCGAACAACTGTGCAATGTGACCCCGAAATCTTGATGGGGCTCGGGATGAACTTGAGCAATAAGAGAATCACTGGACTTCCTGTTTTCAAGTGGGGCCTCCTAACATGTAGTGCGCAGGAATCGGGGGGGGGGGTCTCAGAGGCGAGGCGTGCAGGAGGCTCTTGGGAGGCAGTTTGGAAGACGCTGGGGGGCTGCTTTGGGGCCTCTTGGAGCCATTGGGCATCTTCGGGGCTCTTGGGGGCCAGGCTCTTTGGGGGACTCTTGGAGCCTCCTGGGGACCTCGTGGAGTGGAAAGCCAGGATTCTCGATTTGCGTCCCCCCTGCTCGACGGTTTTTCTGGCCATCTTGGGGCTCTCCTAGGCTGCCTCGGGGCGCTCCTGGGCCGTCGTGGGGTATTATTGGCCCGTGTTGGAGCGGTCTTGGGGGCTCTTGGGCGGTCTTGGGGAAAGATGTCGCCATCGGAGGCGTACAGCACAGACGGGCACTGCTGCAGACCGACCACGCGCCAAGCTGTTCATAACCCCTCAAACTACATAGGATGTTAAAATGTTGTCTGCTTCGGTCGAATGCAACGCGTGCGCGAGCCTCACAGTGACACCAGATTCCTGCAGTCGTCACTTGGCGTGCTGGCCATGGTGTAGACGTCCTTTGGCGGTGCGCAGAAAGGGTGTGGCGAGGAGGGACGGCCTTCTAAGAAGGCGGAGGGCGTCTCAGATCCGATAACGAAACAAACATGTTCCTGCCCCCACCAAGGAAACCTTGGCTCCGTTGGGCTACCCCCCCCGGGGTGGGGACTGATACTGCCTCCTTCGGGTTCCGCAGCACACATCACCACCTAGAGAAAATACGCTGGGAGAGCAAGCTTACCCTGTCAAGGTCGAGGTTGGGAATGCACTGGCGATCATAGTTAGAAGCTGAGACGCCCTCTCAACTCATTAGAAGGCGCGGTCTCCATTTTATGCGCTCCCTGCCTGCATCAAATCCGTCCCCCTCGCCCGACTAACTCTGCGCGCGCCGCCGAATACTCCACAAGGGCGCCATCGCATGCGCGCTCCGTCCTCCTGAGCCCTGCAATCAGTGGACACTCAGTATAATTGGAAGCAACAACATGCGCCTGTAACAGTATGTCGTTCGCCAAGACTCTGCAGCGAGGGTCGTGACATCGCGGGCAGTTTTCTCCACATCGCTTGTGATAGCATCCAACGAGGCAACTCGTCCTCTTACCCTTTGCGTGGGCCTTCCAGGGTGTGCTACACCACGGCGGTGCCAGAAAAGGTCCCTGCGGCGGCAGCGGCCTGCCGGCTTCCTCATTGGCTGAGCTCCAGGCATTTGTGTTCATATCGTTGATCGCCCTTTCGGGCCTGCCGATGTGCCTCTGATTCTCCGTGCGCTGCATGCGGCGCCGCTGCGCGCGCGTGGGCGCGGCCAAGTGCCCCTGCGGCGCCTCCTGCTGGTCCCCGCTGTGGCAGCTTCCGTTGTCATGGCTGGCCAGGGCCGAGCCCTGCCGACCAGAGGACGGGGCTTGCGATGATCGGAGGAAGACCAATCGAGACAACGGCGGCCCTCCACTGCGTTCTCCGCGTCCGTGTCGGTCCTCCTGGAGGCTTCTCGTCGTCAAGGCTTGCTCCCTCGAAAAGCGTGTCATACTGGGCCCTGGCAGGGGTTCAGGGCTGGATTTTGAGTGGACTTGGCCGGGCGGGGGACACCACGGGTCCCTGGGCCCCTGCCGGGCTCCACTCTGAGCCGTTCTTGTTGAGGCGGATCCGCCAGTGGCGATGGGAAGGCTTCGGGAGGAGGAGGAGGAGGAGGAGGAGGAGGAGGAGGAGGAGGAGGAGGAGGTGGAGCAGGAGGAGGAGGAGGAGGAGGAGGAGGAGGAGGTGGAGCAGGAGGAGGAGGAGGAGGAGGAGGAGGAGGAGGAGGAGGGAGGAGGAGGGAGGCCCAAACAGGGCGAAAGGCCAACGAGAGGGCCGCCGTGGTCTCGGCGGGACCTCCCCGGAGATGACGAGCTGGCGGCCGAGTCGTCCTCGATCACGATGAGAGCGGCTGGCAGCGGCCCGCGGGCTGGCCAGCCATCGAGGAGGTCCTGGGGGCCGCCGCTGCTCGAGCTCGAGCTCGAGCTCGAGGTCGAGCCCTGCCACGACATCGGCCCGCGCGCGCGCCCAGCGCTTTTGTAAGCCTGGGTGGCCCGGGCCCAAGCGGCTACCCCGGGTGAGAGCAGTGCTGCTGATGACAATTTTTTTCCGCCGGGAGAGCGATGACAGCCACCAGATGTGCTGCTGGCGGCCCGCGCAGAGGTGCGATGCCACCGACACCGGATGCCAAGCTGGTGACGAGGAAACACTGGCCGGCATGGAGTGGCCGGCGTGGGAGACCTTGGGGCGAGATTCTGCGAGAGGCGCTTCACACTGAGGGTCTAGAGCACGAGCTCTGGCGCCTGCGACGAAGAATCAAAGTAGATGCAAGCTGCACAAGAACACCGTAAAATGGAGGCCAGTCCACAAGAAACTTTCCGCGAGAAACCCAACCCTGAGACCCAGGACGACCATTGGTTTTTGGTGTGGGAGCGCAACGCTTTCCATAACAAAACCATCGAAACCCAAGAAACCCAGGGCACCCTGGAGGCAAGCAGTGTGTTTCTTGGCATGGACCTCAACTGTTGATGGCTTCTACCACCTGGAAAAAACCTCGGAGCTTCCCAAGCGTGACGGTACCCTCACCCCCAAAGCCAGAACCTTCGGCGAGATCGTGAAGGATAGGAGGGCACAAGCGCGCAGCACCAATGTGCCAACCACTCGAGACAAGCCCATTTTGGAGCCAACGCCAAAATGAGCAAAGATGTACTTACCCCCTCCTGGAGCGGGACAGAGTGAGAGGAGAAGACACCATGGTACTGCCAAGACTCCATAGGCTTCGGAAGCAAGAGCGTCAGCTCGATGATGAATCTCACGGAGGACATGCCTTCACCACTGACATGATGAGGATGCGGATGATGATGACGATGACGACGATGATGGTGATGATGATGGTGATGATGCTGATGATGGCACTGAGGATGAGAAGGAGGAGGAGGAGGAGGAGGAGGAGGAGGGTCATGAGTATGTCAAGGAGGACGAGAAGGATAATGATAAGGAGTATGAGGCAAATGGGGGATGAGGATGGTGAGGCTAATGCACATGATGATGATGATGATGATGATGATGATGATGATAATAATGATGATGGTGATGATGTGGATGATGATGTTTATTCTGAGGAGGAAGAGGAGGAGGAAGAGTAGGAGGAGGATACTGATGCTGATGCAGATGAGGAGGAGGGACACTATGATGAGGATGAGGACCAGGATGAGGATGAGGAGGACGAGGAGGAAAAGGGGGGGTGCATCTATGTAGATATCCTGGTAATTAGTTTAGCCTCCCGCTCCCAATGCCACGTGTCTGGCTCCCGATCTCCATCGGTGACATCAGCTCCTCCACGGCTGAAGAGATCCGGGTTGTGGGGATCCCGCCTCATGGTAAATCGAGTTGGGCACCTTCTTGTGAAGAAAAAAACGAAACGTGAGGGAACTCCGCCAAATGCTGCTTGGCAGGGATTGCATAATCTTCTAACGGGTCCCCCCTCCCGGCCCCCGACCGCACTTACCTGCATACACTGCATGGCCTCCCCTCCCGAGACTCCCACGGCTACCCGACGCCCCCATGGCGCTCTCCATGGCGTCCAAGATGCCCCAGCTGGCTTCCCAGACGGCGCAAGCAGGCCTCCAAGAGAGCTCGAGATGCCTCTAAAACGGCCTACCATGGCCCCAAGATGACCTACTGACGGCCCAATATGCTGTCACGACGGCTCAAGAGGGCTACACGAGCGAACATCCAGCAATGCCCGAAGATTGATTCCCTTCGGCGTTTGTAGGATTGTCGCATTCTTTCCTTTTCAGGCTTGCGTAAGCTCAAGACGGCCCAAAAGGCCTCCAAGATGGCTCCTCGACAAGCCAAGAGGGCCTCAATCAAGATAGCCTATGAGGCCTTGAAGGCGGCCTCAGGACAGGCCAAGAGGGCCCCTGGACAGTCAAGGACAGACCCAAGATATCTTCAAGGTGGCCCAATAGGGCCTCTTGGGGGACCCAAGACGGTCTCGGAGGACCCATGTCCAAGACGGCCCCACGACGGCCCTAAAGCGTACGTACCCGCAGACAGCCACGTAGGCCTAAAAGAGCCCCAAGAAGATCAAAGAGAACCCCAAGGCACTTTAAGAGAGCCCCACGACGGCCACAGAGGGCACTAAAGGACCGTCACAACTGCCCCACAGGAGCCCCGGACAGCCCCAAGACGGCCCGAATGATGCGATTCAGGAGGCTAAAGGTGTCACACGTGGGCGACCTCCTGTGGCCCCTCGAATAGTCGCCACCGAGAATGCTGGACTGGCACGATGGCGGGACTTGCCGCAGGCAGCTGGATGGATAAGGGAGCATTAGTGTGCGATATTAGCCAGCGTAGACACAATCAGTGTTTCTAGCGACCTATGTTGTGCAGCACGCATGGTGCAAAGTATTTAGTGCAATAGTTATGGTGCAATATAGGTGGCACGATCTATGCTGTGCTCCTTATGCAGCGCAACCTATGTGGTGCAAGCTGCGTTGTGCAATGCATGTGCTGTAATATATGCTGTGCCACCCATGCAGATCAACCTAAGTTTTACAATCTATGTTGTGCAAGCTAAGCAGTGCAAGCCATGCGGTGCACGCTATGCAGTGCAACTTGTGTAGCGCAATCCATGCGGTGCATCCTATGGTGTGCGATTAATTTCTGTTCGCAATGAATTGTCCACTCCAATGCTCGCGCAAACATCCCACCCACCCACCCACAACTTGGCTTGCAAAATCTCTTAAGACCGTGACGGTGGGTACCAAATGGCACTTGGCAACGACAGCGACGTCGACAACGACAGCGACGTCGACGACGACGACGCCGCCGACAACGACTACGACGACACCGACGACGTCTCCAACGACTTCGACGATGACGACGACGACGACGACACCGACGACGACGCCGCCGCCGACGACGACGACGACAACGACGATGACGATGACGACCTCGACGACAACGACAACACCGACGACAACGACGTCAACGACGCCGACGACGACGACGACGACGACGACGGCGGCGACAACGACGACACCGACGACGACGACGACGATGACACCGACGCCGACGACGACGACGAAGACGACGACGACGTCGCCAACGAAGACGACGACGAGGGAGGAGGGAGGACGACGACGGCGACAACGACGACAACGACGACAACGACGAGGGAGGAGGGAGGACGGCGACGACGCAAACGACGAAGAAGGAGGAAGGACGGCGACGCCGACGACGACAACGAGGGAGGAGGGAAGACGATGACGACAACGACGACGACGACAACGACGACGAAATAGGAGGGACGACGACGAGACGCCGAGGACGGACGACGACGACGACGAGGGAGGAGGAGGAAGGACGACCACGGCGACAACGACGACGGAAACGACCACGACGCCAAAGACGACGACGACGACACGAGGAAAGACACAGGACGACGAGGCGACGACGACGACGACGCGGGAGGAGGGAGGACGACGACGACGACGACGACGACGACGCAAGAGCGCGCGCGCACGCTTTTGTTGAAAATCCGTGTTGCGAAACCTTTGGTTTTTGTAGGTTTTTTGGACACACGATTTTGAAATCCTTCCGAAACCGACATGCGCGCGCGACGCTCGTTTGGTAGCATGTTGTGAAAATCTTGATAGACCAATAAGGTTTTCTTAAGGTTTCGCAAGAGTTCGCGCGGAAGCTATTTTAGCAAATCAGTGTAGCGAAACCATGTGTTTTTGTAGGTTTTTTGGAAACTCGATTGCGAAATCCTTCCGGCACGGAGAGTTTTTGAAGGATTTTGGCATGCGCGCGCGACGACGCGCGCGTGTGCACTTCTGCAAGGGATTCGCGAAAAAGTGCTATGTTAGAACAACAAATGTCACCGCATAATGTTTTTTTACCAGGGAACCTCAGGCGGGGGGAACCCAGTTGGCCTGGGACATTGTGATTTCATATTTAGGATGGACATGTGGTCAGAATCATTTGTGATTTACATACCCGAAGGCGATAACTCCGGGGGGGGGGTAGAGTCTACTCTCTTTTTAGTCACTTGCCGAACTTGAAGTTGTCAACTCGACTGCTCGCGCAATCATCCCACCCACCCACCCGCAACTTGGTTTGCAAAACCCATGCGGGACCGAGCACAAATATCGCTCCGGGGTCGTCTTGGAACCCTCGGGGGCGTCTCAAGAGCGCCCCAAGAAGGCCGGAGAAGCAAGACGGCCGACGACGACGACGACGACGACGGCGGCGTTGA